TCGACAAGAAAAGAGAAATGTAAGCCAAATTCAACAAAATAGAGCTACACCCAATAAACAAGTAAGTAAGTTTAATTAGAACAAATGAGGGCTTGAAATACAACAGCTTAAACAAGTGTAAAACCAATAGAAAATCTGAGGAAGAACGCGTTAAAGGCAAGTTTCAGTTCAACCGAAGAATACCTAGGAAACCCAAGAGATCTCTCTGATCCCGTTTGATTGCTTGTAGCCCCTTATATGACCCAAAGCCCTGCTAAATTCATTCTTAGGGGTTTAAGGTTTGGGGGATCCTTCCAATTTGTAACCGCTTTTGCAAGTAGTCGCGCGCTTCTAAGAGTAATATTCAGGAGCTTTCGACCCAGGATTAATTAAGGGTACGCCATTTAAGGGAAAACCCCGCATGGGATTCCATAGAGGCTTTCATACTCAAGCAGTTTGGCTTTGAGGGAAGCTTTGGCTCAGGAACACAGTTGACACTTCCGACTGTGAGCGCCTGCAAGGGGCTTCCAAAGTCCTAGCCCCATGTGTAAAATCGTGACATCTGGGTCCGAAAGTTGCAACAACATTCAAGGTGGCCGGAAGTGGTGCTCCGAGCCCTCTATGTTGTCTTAATGAATGCTGCCATGAAGCTGTGAGAAGTCATGCTAACCTCGCAGCGTAGTTGCTACTCCCATCAGGGCAACCATGAGGAGACACAACAGGCGTCGACACACCCGGCTTCAGCTCGCAACGCTGTGGCTGACGCTTCTTTGACCTGGCCCTGGACGTACACACCGGGTGTCCGGGATTGAATTTTACTCGCAAAGTTACAGACTCTGCATACGTGGCTCGGAACGGCACACTTCGCTCCAGTGGATTCAACCTGCTCGTTACGTGGTCGGCTGTATGAGTCGGAGGCTCGATAGTCATGCAACGCCAGGGGCACGTGTTTATTGGTCTGCAGCGAAGCAGAAACGGCTCGGCCACACTTGCTGCCGCCCTTGAGTCATTGGACCTCCGTTTCTCCAATCGAACCCTTGAGGGCCGTCCAAACAAGGTTTTGAGAGTGCGCTTTTTCACTCGCGGAATCCCACGACGGGGCAGGACTTTGCAGGTCCTGGCCCGCCTCTCTACGTGAAATATCTCACCTAGGCTGTCTGCGCTCAGCCTAATTTCCTTTCTTAGACGGGGTATCGGCGGGCCCCAAATAGAAATTGAGTCCCAGTGAAGGAGAAGGAATGGAAGGAGGAATCGCACGCGCGCGCCCTCCCCCTCCATCGTCCGCCGCTACTAGAGTGGGCTTCGTTGTCTTTATGATGATTTGTGGGTTTAGCTGTGTTGCGGTCTATGATGATTCCATGAGAGCTGAAGTCGAAGGTTGTTTAGAGCTCCGAGGATTCATGGAGCTTTTGGAAAGCCAGGGCTCCTCCAACCTTGTCTCCTGACTTTGGAGCTTGCCACCAGTTGGGGCTATGTGTTCAGGATTGTAGGGTACATTGCTGGGAGTCCCTTAATACGGGTTCTTATATCTGAGGGAGAAGGAACCTTGGCCCTGACTTCGCAAGTAACAACTTTACAGATAGTTGGGGCCTCTTGTCGGAAATGCATAGTGCGCAGCGAAGTCGATGTCACGCTGCAGTATTGCAGCACCCGACGTCTAAGCATGCGAGCTAGAGGTACAATTTTTTGTGTCATTACTATTCATCACCATTCGTATTGACAGCTTTCAGCATCAGTGTACAAAGAACATAGACCATAGCTCGAGTGGGAAATTCCCAGAGTCATGGCACCTTCTCAAGAAGGGCGAGATCTCTAGGAACAGGTAACACGTCTATTTGTTCATGCCCTTCTGACATCTCAAAAATTGAATTAGGGATGTTGCAAGCGTCAAACGCCTGTAAGCCAACCCTGCTAGATGAGCGGTAGCTACATCATTGCAAGAGGGTTGACAGTGCCTGGCTGTGCACTGCTGTACAGGATCACATAAGTATTTGGCCAGATGGCCCGCGAAAAAGGCATTCTACCTAAGAGGTAGTACCCTCAAGGTCCAAATCACCGCTTTTAGGCTTCAGGATCTATAAATGCCCGAAAATCCATTTATGGTGTAGAGTTTCAGGATTGAGGGTACGTGGTTTAGGGTTTAGGGTTTCGGAACATTGGGGCATTTGGACCCGAAGGAACGTCCTGTTTTCGGACGAGTTCCTCAAATCATTCGCGGCATATGCTAAGCATCCATACCAAGAAAAGCAATCGCCCAGAAAACCCAGGAACCTCGACCATGACATCCTATTCTATGCACCCTCATCCTGGTAGTCAAGCTTAGGCCTCCTGTAGACTTCCAATCGGCTCCCGACCATTCGAATCAAACATCTGCAATCAACTCTCATCAAACTGCTGGTGACTTTTTTGAAATGGTAGTTACTCCGGCGTCTTTCGGCACTCCAGTAGCGCAGCATCCCCAACCATGAAAGATGCAATGAAACTCGCCCAAAACCCGCTTCAAGCCCAGAAAAGCCAGCAAAGCCCGAATCTTAGGTACCGTTAAGGGATATATAGGGGATATATCGGGGACATGGTTGGGGATATATATATATATGGGGGTATATATAGGAATCTTAATAACTCCTCTCCTAACTGGCTTTCCAGCCTAAGGGCCTTGTAAGCCCTCACCCAGAAAATGAATTCTCAGCATATTGTCCTGCATGCGTTGTGATGCAGTCACAGAAAACTTGTCAAGCCTTCGGCCACGATTCACCTGACTCAGCCACTTCAGAAGCATAAGACTTTCTGTGGAGTAAGGGTGTGTTGTATAAAAATATGTGTGTATATATATATAGGGAGTATATAGGGCTTATTAACCCACCCTCATTATTGCCTTCTAACCACCACCAGGAAGATGAAGGACCTCGGGTCTTGCTACGAGTTCCCATGTACAACCTCACTGATTGAACATAACCTCCACCCCTCCAAACGGAACACCTATTCAGACCCTTGGCCTCATAATTAGCTTAGCCAACGTTAGGCTCTGGAGGGCTTGTGGGGGGTACTACAGCGGGCTAGATAGATAGATAGATAGATGTATATATATATATATATTTCTGAGAGCTACTTGAAGTACCCCATACCAGTCTACAAGGAATCTGGAGCCATAAGCTCAGTAAGTATTTAATCCGCCAGAGTAGGGATATGAAAGAAAGTCGCCTCGAGGTCCAACCCTTCGCATTGTGAAGGTTTGGAGAATGCGTTAAGGGCTTATTGTCTTAGTTATGGGTGTATGGGCATTCATTTGAGAAAGGCCCAGGTGACGTTTAAACTTAAACTCCTGAACCCTATAAACCCTAAACCGCGTATTGAGAAAGGCCCATATGACGTTTAAACTGCAGATTGCGAGGTTCTACCTCGCCTCTCACGGGGTAGAAACTGGGGGTTCCCAAAAATTGGGGGGGGGTACGTCCTTAGGGATCCCTATGCTGTTATGAGGATTATAGTGTTTGGGGTCTATATCGGGGTACCAATATATAAGGAAACTACCAACTTGTAGCCTGGCTCTGACTTCTCAGTGCATGCCTTTATACACTCTAGAGGTAAATTGCTCAGCATGTCCTAGGGACTTGCAGGACCCCGCTTACTACCTGGTACCCCATAATCCTTTTAGACGTGGGATTATGGGTTTTTGTGTGCGTGGTTAGCTCGGAGGGCTCTGTAATTCACTACGGTTTTCGCAGTGGTTTGCACTTTCCAGTTGTGATCTCAGTTGCTCTGCATGCGGAACAGCCAAGCGGGAGGGGAAAAATAATTATTTACTTCGAGCATCCCCACCCTAAAGCCGTTATTGCACAAGAAGTGTGACGTTTCCCTGCCCCCCCTCAATTGTCTTCCTTGTAGCACTGCAAATGCGCTGCAGGAATATTGATACTCTGCTGTTGGGCACTCCAGGGATTCGGTGCGCTTGGGCACTGCAGGGATAC